ACATATACACATGTTACACATTTACATACACACATGTTACACATACACACATGTTACACATACACACATGTTACACATACACATATGTTACACCTACACATACACATATGTTACACATACACACATGTTACACGAACACATACACACATGTTACACATACACATACACACATGTTACACATACACACATGTTACACGTACACATACACACATGTTACACATACACATGCACACATGTTACACATACACATACACACATGTTACACATACACACATGTTACACATACAATATGGCTTAAAAAGGGTGTGTGTGGGTTCAGGTCGTCCCTGGTGTAAACACTGATGGACTAAATCCCCCCACCGCCCCTGCAACAAAAACATGTTTAAAGAAAATTTATATGTTTCGGGAAATCAGGGTGGGGCGGGGAAGACAAAACATTATCCGCAACGGGTACCACCAGACCTTTTGGCGCCACTACACATATCATTGTTTCACATACAGATCCGAATGCTACTGTTATTATGGTTTACTTCTCGTACCTGCACCATCCAGACTGCAGTAACCTTGCCCTAGCCTCGCCAGCCACCATGTTGTGCTCAGTTTAGTGCAGAAAGCACAGCCGAGTCTTAAAATAGCTACCTTACCGGAGTCTGAAGCCACAGGTAAGTGCGCGTGCTTTCATGATTTAGCAAGTATGTTTTTTAGTGTTGCATGCGCGTTTGCACGAGCACAGAATCCGAGGTGCTTGTGTTAACTCTCGTGCTTCCACATGGGGTGGGCATTTGGAAGGATTAGGGGGTGAAAGAGGGGTGGGGGGGGGGGTGTCGGAAAAGAGGGGGGGGGGACATTTCGGCTTGTTACTGTTGTTGTTATTGTTGTTATTGTTTTCTTCTCCTTCTTCTTCTTCTTCTTTTTCTTCTTCTTCTTCTTCTTCTTCTTCTCTTCTTCTTCTTCTTCTTCTTCTTCTTCTTCTTCTTCTTCTTCTTCTCTTCTTCTCTCTTCCTCTTCTTCTTCTTCTTCCTTCCCTCTTCTTTCTTCTTCTTCTTCTTCTTCTTCTTCTTTTCTTCTTCTTCTTCTTCTTCTTCTTCTTCTTCTTCTTCTTCTTCTTCTTCTTCTTCTTCTTCTTCTTCTTCTTCTTCCTCTTCTTCTTCGTCTTCCTCTTCTCCTTCTCCTTCTTTTTATTTTGAGTTGTAGTTTACCGTTAGGTTGTGATATTTGCTATCTTCGGCCCTAAGTGTCTGATTTCATTAAATTACTAATTAGAAATGGCTTGGCACTGTGAGCTGCGGATTTAATTTGGAATGCGTTACCACCCTTACATAATGTGTTTTGCGTAAAGCAGATTAAGAAAATGCTAAATGGTATGTTTTCACATTGCATCAATTGCGTGCGCAACTACTGGTTTTAGGAGCTGCTGCATCCTTCGACGATGAACTACATTCCTAGGCACCGGGTGAGGGCTGCCTTATACGTGTAATGCATGCGTTTGCTATTGTTTTTGCCTAGACTCTAGTCAAATATTTGTCTTGGGACAACGACATACATTTTGAGTGTTTTTCCGTTAGCACATGAATTATGTGGTGATCCGCTTGCTTGACGTTGGTACTGTGATGCCCTGCTTAAGGGTTGTAGCTATGATTGACAATGGGTTTAGTTACTATGAGTAACAGAAAACTAGCAATTAGTTCACTGACTCAATCACGGTACACATTACACTACTCTCTCTGCCTAAAAATGATGTTATATTCTTCTCCTTCTCAAAGTCCGTGGCGTTGGTAGTAATGTCTATCCACAACCTTCTGTCTCTTGTATTTTTTTAACAGCTCTGAGACAGATGATCCTCCATGCCATGATGCCAAACTATACAGCATAATTTCTATCGGTCTCCTTCTGCCTCTCCTTCCCTGCTACTTTCCTGCTATCGCGATGTACTACGTTTTTCTCCTTTTCATCACATGACCATCGAATGCAGATTCTCTCTTCCTCTGTTATATTTAAAATTGTTTGTATAATTTATCACAGAGATTCTGGGGTCACGTGATGGGAGAAAAGAGAACATACTCACCACCCCTTAACCAGCATGTCGTAAAAGGCGACTAATTTGAGATTGCCAAAGTCGCATGGGCCCAAATGCGCATACATCTTAGCCTACAATGCAAACAACACAATGTGAGAACCGCTCTTTCAGCAGCAGCAGCCGAAATAGTAGTAGTAGTAGCAGCAGCAGTTGTTTGTTTTAGTATCCAGAAGCCATGAGTTGTTAACCCTTAGGCTCGGTATTATGGATATCGCAACCTTTCGGCCTTGATTCCATTGTAAATACAGTAAATCTGGGAGAAAATGTGGCTTTTCTGCCCACCCCGGGGAGTGAACCCGGACCACAAGGAGTTCGTCACCCGCTCACCGCGCAATCCGGTTTAGCCAACTACGCTAGAGAGCCGGGCCAGCAGCAGCAGTAAAAGTAGTATATGTACTAGTGGTAGTAGTAGTAGTTGTAGTAGTAGTAGTAGTAGTAGTAGTAGTAGTAGTAGTAGTAGTAGTAGTAGTAGTAGTAGTAGTAGTAGTAGTAGTAGTAGTAGTAGTAGTAGTAGTAGTAGTAGTAGTAGTAGTAGTAGTAGTAGTAGTAGCTAGTAGTATTAGAAGAAAAAGAAGAACAAGAAAAAGAAGAAGAAGAAGAAGAAGAAGAAGAAGAAGAAGAAGAAGAAGAAGAAGAAGAAGAAGAAGAAGAAGAAGAAGAAGAAGAAGAAGAAGAAGAAGAAGAAGAAGAAGAAGAAGAAGAAGAAGAAGAAGAAGAAGAAGAAAAAGAAGAAGAAAATGAAGAAAAGAAATGAAATAATAAAGAAAAATCATACGAATAATAATAATAAGTTACAATAATTTCTTCTGTCTGTTAGCAGTATTTCTCAGATCCCTAAGACCTCAAAAACGTGTTGCTATAAACTACACAACTTTCGGATGCACAATGTTGACGTAACAACTATCTGTGATTGAATGACTTAACTCCAAACCTAGCATCGAAGTTGTCTCTTACGACATGTTTCCCGGTGATTGCACATTACTCAGCCTGCACAGGTAACTCGGAAAAGCTATAATGGAACGAGCACAATTATACGGAGTACATATTTCTCACTGCCCTAGATTTTTGTCTGTGCTGCCTCCATCTGGACCGGATGTGTTGTTGTTGCAGACGGAATTCTCCTGGAAGGTGAAAGTACTTTCCATGAAAAGAATCACTTGTGGCTGAGCATTCGTGGAAATTAGTTGTGCTGTAAGTTCACAGATGAACAAATTTCGTTGAAAAAAAGTTAGTAAATTCAAATGAGCATGTTTGTGTGAGTACAATATATAAGGCAAAAATTAAATAAAAAATCGAGATGCGCACGAAACGCATTTAACAACTAATTGCGTCAGTCATCGTGTATATTTTTTAAAAGTACACATAACAGCCTAACAAGCAGCAGAGTGGGCCCAGGCTAGGTTACCTATCATAAATTAAAATACGAACCACAATGTAGATATGACAAAAGAAGAAACTACCAAGCAATGGTTCGCAAACTGTTCGTCCCCAAGGCACTAAAGCATTAAAGTGGAAATTGATGATGATGATGATATGAATATGAGTATACGAGATAAAGGTACTGATGTAGACTCGTGGGAACAAAATGCCACAAGCCGTGTTGTGTAGAGGGGTCACATAAGGAAGGGAATGAGAATAAATAAAGAAATTATTACAGAAAGAATGAGATCTGAGATTCTGAAAAGTAACAGGCGAAACACAAATGTTGACAACAACAGTCCTGCAATTCCATGCTTTAATCTTGGAAGACTTTTGTTAACGTGGCCCGGTCCTGCTAGTCACACTCGCTGTAGCCATGGGCTGTGTGTTCCGTGCCTCCTCAAAGCTCAATAAAATACTAACGTCTGGAAAGACGGAAAGGTGCCAATCAAAAATCAGTTAGTCATTCAGTACAGGGTTGATACCATGATTGTGTTATATGGATCAAGCGTTGCGAGTCCGACTCGTAATTCCAACGTACCGCGATCGAAACCCACTGCTGGCTGCGTGGATTTATGTCGTGGTATGGGGCGTCGCAGGTCGACCCGGCCTAAAATGGGTACCATAAGGGATATCCTAGGGAAGTAAAGACGGCTGGCGTAATGATGACCATATTACCCACCTAATCCCAATAGTCTATAAAAAATATGGGTGCTCTTCCCATATGCGTGATTCGCCAAAGGCGTAAAGAGGGATATTTAGTTTTTTATATATATATATACAAAATCCAATCGTGTACCGCGTAATTAGTTTATTTCATGTCAAACTTTGTTAGTATTATGTAAGAATACGAAATGTTTGTTTATATTTCCTGCTCGGTCTGGATTTCTAGTTACTTTGTAGCCGTCTGGGGTCGTAATGTAACTACTGTCATGGTTGAACAGGGTTTGTACCTGCTTAATTGTCATCCTGAAGATGTGTGTTCTGCAGACTTCAATCGTTGATGTTGCCCCGAGTTGGTTTCAGGGCCCTGTTACAGGGAAAACAAGAATAGACCCACTGCCCACCCAAAGGCATGTCGTCAGAGTAGACTAATTTGGAGCTTCCGTCGAACTCTGAGTGCATCTGCCTGAGAGGCAAGGAACCAACAGTCTGCACACAAATGTGTCAGATCTGTCAAACGTATGCACACGCAAGACTCAGGTTCTGGAACAGGACTGCAGCCCAAAAGTAAACGAACAACCCGAACTTTTTACCAGAGTTTACAGCTGGTAAGCGCAATGAAGAAGAAGAATCCTGGATGTAACTAACTACAAAGAAACATCGACACCTCCAATACTTTGAATCGACACATGTATGCAGGTGTTACAACTGGAAGTATTATTTTTAAGCAGTCACACTTTCCTCTTGCCCTTTTCCTATACAGGAACCCTGCTCAGATGTAAAACTGTGTGACATCTTAACACAACCATCAGAGATCACCTCAGTAAACAACTAAGCTTCCATGGAAGACGACGGTGCCAGAACAGAGGTAATGTTAGCGTGATAAGAGAAAGCTAAACTGCGCATACATACACATGTTATAGAAGGGTTCTAAGAATATCGTGGGTAAAGAAACGAACAAATGCATCCATACTTCAAGAACTAAATATTAAAGAAGATTGGCTAATAAAGACGATTGAATTCTTTTCAGGACGTTTAAAAACCAACCCCTGCGATTTCTGGCTGTTGTGGTTTTTATAGGCAAATTAACGTCCAGTAGTTTGCCATTGCTTTCTAGACGGTCGGCTTTTGGTACCACGGTCGAAATCATCGCAAGACAAACCGTCTGCAGCAGGGATCGAACCCGGCACCCAGACATTACTAAGCACGTTCGCAACGCCTAAGCCACAGACGCCGACATTTAAACGATCAGATGATCAAACACAGAAAATTTAAATATTTCGATCTTTTGAAACGGCACGAAAGTTTAAAGAGAACAATAATGGAGGGGTATATGCCTGGGAGTGAGGAAGAGGAAGGCCAAAGAAAAGATGGGTGCGGGATGTGACGTATCATCTCCAGATGGGTGTATCGGTCGCGGGACATCTTGCTTGTGATCAACAAGTTGTCCGGAGGGTTGTTATGGGCGCATGGTTCTACAAAGGACATGCTACTGACTGACAAGAGACACACTAATTTACACATTTAACCATTTGCTGTCTCCCCAATTGCTCATTTTGCTTTAAGGAATCGGATATTTTGGAGAAAAAAAACATTTACCTCAGTTCCCACGGCGACCCAACCTAAAATGTGTACCAGGTAAAGTTTTTGGAAAGTAAAGGCGGCCAGCGTGATTTGTACCGCATCCCTCATCGAGTTCCAATTTTTCTGTGGCAATAAACGTTTGTACAATAAGCGTTAATAAGGTCCCTAACTTTCCTTTCCTTTAACTTCTCATGACTATACTTTACTTTAAGTTTAGTTTACTATACCTTATTTATTTACACATTAAAAGTATCTGGTTGAGAACCAGCAAGGAAATAAAAATTATAATTTTGTGAGCATGCATCTTCCCTGTAGCAAAATACGGATGTGAGTCGTGCATTATCTCCCAGTCCTTGAAAATAAAATAAAAAATAAAAAAATTTAACAGTTCTGAACGTCAAGAAAGACTGGCTAATAAACATAATCATGACTCGAAAACCGAAAATACTTTGGTTATATGAAGCGCCATGGCGGAAATACAAAATAATAGCAAATGGCATGGTAGCAGGAAGGTGGGGCAGAGGCAGACCAGCACGAGGATGGGCACAAGATATAAGTGACTCCTTGAATATGAAAGTGCACGAGGCGGGAGAGAGGACGAGAAACCGAGTTTCTTTCAGATAGAACATTCTTGATTCATGGATCACCGCTTCTGAATTATATATTGTCATGTCTTTTATTTTTAAGCTTGGAAATGACCAGGAGAGCAATGTGGACGCAAGTGCGGATGGAAACAGTCAAACAAGTGAAGCAAAAAAGACAGCAGAAGAGAAAAAACGAGAAGAACTCTTTAGCAGGGAAAATCTCCAGGTATTTTTTTTTTTAACTCATACAGCAAATCTTCAATTCCTAATGTATTATTTTGTGTACACATTCAGAATACTATTAATTTTAAGAGTAATTTTTTTTACACCTTTAGAATATGTTCGATTCTAAAAGAATGCATTTCCTTTTCATACATTCAGAATATGTTCCATTGCTCTAGCGAAGAACTAATATTTATACGAAGAACTAATAATTTATTGAGATCAGTGTTTATCTCTTGCATAGATATTCAGCCGGGTATTCACCACTCACAACTAGTGTGGAATGATTCAAGTTGAAGTTAGGACGTGACTGCCAATTTCCGTTCCTAATGATGAACTCACTGCCGCGTCAGACAACGGATACTCGAAGACACATGTCTGATTGTGAGGATGATGGCAGATAAATTTGATGTTAACAAAAATACGATTCGAAAACGTTTGTGAAAAATGTGAGCAAGAAAACGTTGCTTTCCGATTATTGGTACGCAAAAGACGTTATTAAAACTGGACACTTACTTATAAGTTAGTTGCGTATCCTTTACAGGACGTTGTAGAACCAACCCAAGCATTTTTTGGGCTGATAGGGGTTCTTCTAGGCAAAATTACGACCAGTAGTTTGCCATTGCTCCTGGAGGTCGGCTTCTCGATACCACTTTCGAAACCAACGCAAGGCCCGCAGCTGGGATAGAACCCGGTAACCCGGTACTACGAAGCGCGTTCGCAAACCTTAGCCACAGTCGCCGGCCACTTACATATACCATTTAAAAAATGTCATTGCATCTAATTAGGTTATGCAACAATTAACACCGCTTCTGACCCATAGAAAGGGACCTCTGTCAACCAAAGCAAATCTCATAAGAACGGTTTTTTGGGGCCGACATTGTCCTACCTGTGCCAAACATGGACCCTTACTACAACTAATGAGCGGAAGATAGTAACAACAGAGATGAGATGTCTTAGGAGAGCTGCCGGTGTGACTAGAAGAGATAAAATCAGGAATGAAGAAATTAGAAGAAGACTAGGACTGAAACCAGTCCTAGAATTCATTTAAGAGCAACAAGTAAGATAGGTTGGTTACCTGACGAGAATGCCCTGGTACCAACTGCCACAGAGAGCCACGCTGAAGAAATATAATAGAGCAAGGGGAAGACAACGTAATATATGGAGAGACATTATCGGGTGAAACCTAATATAAATAAACACCACCTTGTACAATGCATTGGAAAAGGCGCACAAACAATACTTACATCACCCCTAACACATCGCTGGGGTAAATGGTAAAAGAGAAGAAGAGGACAAAGAAGATTGCATCCAATAATGGTTTCGCTACTATACTACAGAAAATCGGTAAGGTACTTATGGCAGTCAACATTTTCACAGATTGTTGCTTCTGAAAGACGGAGGCTGCTGTATTTTCCTTCATTTGTAGACTGAAAGAATGTATGTTTGTTGCCCTTCTACAGAATTGATAGCATGGGGCGACACTGTGAGCTGCACATTTCATTTAGAATCTTTCTCGACTGTGACGAACGTGGTGTTGTGAACTGTGGATTTAGAAAATGGCCACAAAAGTGGTGGTGCTCTTTGTGGTTAAAATTAATCGAGCGTGTAACTGCTGATATTGTTTGTAACTGCTGCTTGTGTCGATGAGGAACTGCATTTCTAATGGTGGACTGTTTGCCTTAGCACTTCTGACGGCTGCCTTATGCTTTTTGTGTGTGTATGCCCTAGAGGATATGCGGGGACTGCAGTCTGTGTCACTTTTGCTACGAGTGACTGATGGACATTCAGTCTGCTTTTCCTGAACACAGGAGCAGAGTAACTATGGGATGACCCATTTGCTATAAAGCTGAACCTAAGATTACCAGACTACCAAAAGAAAACAAAAATAAAAACTAAAACATGTAGACAACGTTACTGGATTTCTACGACAGCAGAAAAAGTGGTCACACCTGTCTCGTTTTAGAGCAGCGGTTTTCAACTTGCCGGACGCGACACACTTTTAAAGGTGTGGCCTAAGACCATCGGAAAACACACATTCATTGAAGTTATGAAGAGACATAATTGTCTGTGGTTGGCCAATGACTATTGAAGATTCTCAGTATCGGATACGAATATTGAAAACCTAGCAGTTGATCCTATAGAACCCATTTTACCCAAATGGCGGACTGGGAATATGCTCCTTGATCCATATTTCATAAAGCAATCTGTACTCGCTGCATGGTGTGGTCAACGCTACGTTGGTCACCTTTACTTCACCTGGTACAACTTTTAGACTGGGTCAAATTTGGAGCCAAAATCTATTTTTTTTTAAATTCTGACTGTAAGCAGATTTGAACCCACAACCTTAAGTTCAGGATGCGAGCATCCTCTGTACTACCACAGCTTCCTCGTTTGATATCTACTGCAAGTCAGCATACGGGCTCACAGGATAATGGCTGTACAGGAACGTTTGTCATTGATACAACGATTGCTCTCACACATCTGCCATTCTATCCAGATGTGCCCCCCCCCCACCTCCACCTCCCAATTCCTTACCTGCGCAATTGTTTTAAATTTTCAAAAAATAGTTCGTCATCGAAAGGACGCCATCCAAAAGGGTTCTGGCAACTAACATAGGATCATCAAATAACAATTTATGCAGAGGCTATTCTCAGATGTGTAAAATCTTGCCACTCGTATCTATTCAGAATAAGATTACTTTATATACACACGATATAGCAGTATAGGTTGTTGTTTCTCTCGAGGTGGGGCAGTAGTGAAAAAAGAAGGGGGGGGGGGTGGGCAGTTTTGTTATATAATTGTGCGATGTGGTGGTGCACCAACAATTCTTCGGTGGCTGGTTTACCAACCGAAATTTCTTGCTCCAGGAACTTGCCGATCGCATCAAGTCACTGAGTCCATTATTTCTCATAACGTTCCAACAAAACACTAACTATCCGCGTCTGCTTTTTCTGTAAACTCCAAGAAAGGTCTTGGTTGTTCGTCCACTTTTGGAGTTTGGTCTCGTTCCAGAAATTGTGCTTTCCATCGACATCCGTTTTAGAGATCTGATTTTGTTTAGCATTCAGACTGCTGATTCTTCGCCTCTAAGGCAGATGCACTCTGATTTTGAATTAAACCCTTAACTAGTTGCCTTTCACTGCTTTGACAGTAGGTTTGTTGTAATCGGGAAATGGTGTTCCGGAAGCCACGCTGTCAGTGACGACTGATTTACTTCATTTTTTTTAATGAGATTACCTTGACCCAAAATATAGATGAGGCCAATATCACGGTTAATGAGGACTAGTTTAATAATTTACCTATCATGTATTATGAGATGACATTGACCACAAATATACATGATGCCAATAACACTATCAGTGAGGACTAGTTTAATAATTTACCTATCATGTATTATGAGATGACATTGACCACAAATATACATGATGCCAATAACACTATCAGTGAGGACTAGTTTAATAATTTAATTATCATCTTTTATGAGATTACCTTGACCACAAATATAGATGATTCAAATAACACCACCAATGAGGACTTGTTTTACTAATTCACCCATCATCTGTTATGAGATTACATTGACCACAAATATAGATGATTCAAAAAACACCATCAATGAGGACTTGTTTTACTAAGTCACCCATCATCTGTTATGAGATTACATTGACCACAAATATAGATGAGGCCAATAACACCATCAATGAGGACTAGTTTACTGATTAAGCCACAAATACGGACTGGTTTAACAATTTAGCAATGGCGAGGACTGGTTTGCAAATTTTACTATTGCTACAGATGCTATGATTTTTTTTTCTAGCGTCTTCTGGCAGATGCCCTGACCTACATGTCCCCGGTGAAAGACCTGACAACCATCGTCAAGTGTGGAGCAGACGTCAATGGGTCAGTCAAGCGGGGCTTGCGACCCTTACATTACGCTGTGTACTCCGGCTATTTGGACGGAATCACATTTCTCTTGGAACATGGGGCAGACGTCAACGCTCCCGATGATATTGGGTACCGACCAGTACATTTGTGTGCCAGGAAAGGTATGTTGGGATATGTGAGGTCATGTTTAGTCTTTAGCTAAGTCATGATTAGTCTTTAGCGAAGTCATGTTTAGTCTTTAGCGAAGTCATGTTTAGTCTTTTGCTAAGTCATGTTTAGTCTTTAGAGAATTCGTGTTTAGTCTTTATCTTAGTCATGTTTAGTCTTTAGCGAAGTCATATTTAGTCTTTAGCTAAGTCATGTTTAGTCTTTAGCTAAGTCATGTTTAGTCGTTTGCTAAGTCATGTTTAGTCTTTTGCGAATTCATGTTTAGTCTTTAGCTTAGTCATGTTTAGTCTTTAGCGAAGTCATATTTAGTCTTTAGCCAAGTCATGTTTAGTCTTTAGCTAAATCATGTTTAGTCTTTAGCTAAGTCATGTTTAGTCTTTAGCTAAGTCATGTTTAGTCGTTTGCTAAGTCATGTTTAGTCTTTAGCTTAGTCATGTTTAGTCTTTAGCGAAGTCATATTTAGTCTTTAGCCAAGTCATGTTTAGTCTTTAGCTAAATCATGTTTAGTCTTTAGCTTAGTCATGTTTAGTCTTTAGCTAAGTAATGTTTAGGGCCCTGAATATAGCCGGGGCATAGATATGGCCTAACGCCTGAAAGGGATTTCTGGGACCTCTCCACCGATGATCCTCATCCACACGGTGACACGCTGTGTAACCGGGTGTATATCGTTTGTGTGATATCCTGGTGGGGGTAAAAAGTCAGTCAATTATTGCTTAAAAACTGTTCATGAAATTAGGTATGAAAACTACTTTCAAAATTCTCTCATTTTTACACCAGTTGCACATACTGCATAAGCTGTTAGGCTCATATGTTTCATGGGGGAAAAAAAAAAAAAACTGCGGTGAGGCTAAGTGATGGGGGTCAGATTCCATGTTAGGTTCGGTTAGCCAAGGTGAAACCGAAATTTTTTTTTACCCCCCCCCCTCCCCCGCCCCCCCCCCCCCCCCCCCCCCCCCCCCCCCCCCCCCCCCCCACACACACAAAAAAGAATATTCGACTATCAGGGGATTGAACACAAGATCGTCAGGCCGAAGTAGACAGGGCGTCTAGATACAGAAACTGATAGTGTCCAGCCCTGCTATTACCACAACTAAGTGTACAACAACAACATACGTCACTATTGATATTACCATTGCCTCTGAGCCATTAATCAGTTATTATTACTCCTTATATTACTGATGCTGCTGCTGCTGCTACTCCTGCTACTGCTGCTGCTACTGCTGCTGCTGCTGCTGCTGCAACATCTACAAAATTAACTTAAATACTACTAGCAGTGAACACCAAAAATGATTTCATACCAGTACAACAGATAAAGATTGCTGCTGCTGCTGTTGCTAACAGCACCAAAACTACTACTGCTGCTGCTGCTACTACTAGATCAGCAACAAAATGAATTGATTAGCAATACAATACGCGTCTGCTGCTGCTTCCAACACCACCGCCAGCACCACCACTACCACTACTACCACCTCCACTACCATATCCACCACCACCACCACCACTACTACTACCACTATAACCACTAACACCACCACCACCACTACTACTACCACTATAACCACTAACACCACCACCACCACTACTACTACTACCACCTCCACTACCATATCCAACACCACCACCACCACTACTACTACCACTATAACCACTGACACCACCACCACCACTACTACTACCACTATAACCACTATCACCACCACCACCACCACCACTACCAACACCACCACTACGACCACCACCATCTACCACCACCACCCCCTACTGCTACTACAAGATCAGCACCCTAAATTACTTAATACCAACACAACAGATAAAGATCTCTGCTGCTACTACAAACACAACTAAACCCACCACCACCACCACTACTACTGCTGCTGCTGCTGCTACTAATACTGTAACTGACTAATACCACCCCGTTAAAAGAATAAAAACAATCACTACAGCCATGACTACAATACGACAATTTCATTAACTCATCATCATCATCAGGTGCCTTGCCGACTGACGTGGGCGATCATGCCTCTCCATAATCTGCGATCTCCTGCAGCATGTATCAGTTTTTGTGCCGACACACCTCCATGCCATGCAACAAAACTGTCAAGCATCTTCTCTCGTTGTCTTCCTCTATCCCTCCTTCCGCAAATCTTTCCAGTGGTCACATGTTCTATTTTCCCTCTTCTCATAACATGGCCGAACAATTATGCCTGTCTCCTTCTGATGTCTGTGATAAGTTGTCTTCGGGCTCCCGCCTCTTTCAAAACCTCTTGGTTGCTCTTTTTGGCTGTCCAAGGTATTTTAAGTATTCTTCTGTAAAACCACATCTCTGAGGCCTCTAGAAATTGTTTATTGTCCAGGATTCACAGCCATATGTTAAAACTGGATGTATGTAACAAGCAAGAATTCTTTTTCTAACTCTCAATGACAAGGATATATTGCACAAGATGTTTTTCATTTTAAAAAATGCAGTTTTTGACTGTCCAATTATGTTTCTTATTTCAGTTATGCATCTTCCATCTGATGTTATCCATGTGCAGAAATACTTAAATTTCTGTACTTGTCCTAAAATAACACCATCGACTTTTTATTTCACATTTAGAAATAATTACATTAACTACACACACTTTTAAAAGAGCAGCTTCTAACACAACTAGTTCAACCACAACGAATAAGACAACGGAAACGAAAACAATAATAACACCAGTTATTAATTCTACAATTGCTGTTACAGTTACAATTATTACTATTGCTATTCTACTCCAACTAATAAATCTTCTGAATCTAAATTTTCATGTCAAAAGTCCACAAGGACACAGGAGAAACAACAGTACTAATTGCTACAATTATGTTATCAAGCAGTCAATCGCATATATAGATTATTCTTCAAATAACGTCAGATCTGCATTTTTTATTTCTACAGGTCAATTGGAGCCACTAAAGATCCTCATTGAACATGGTGCCAAGGTTGACTTCTTTGTTGATGAAGATGACAACTCAGAAGAAAGCCGCAGATTGGGCTATCTTACTATAGGTACTATCTATCTTAGTGTGGGTTGTAGGCTTTTAAATGTTTGGGGGTGGGTGGGGTGGGGTCGGGGGGAGATTGAAGAGATTAGACCCACCTGTCCCTAAAAAAGCATGCCGTAAAATGCATTTACTTAAGGATTTGCTGAAACAGGATGTTTAAGCAGATTTGGCAGAGTAGCTGTGAAACATTACATAACGTGTCAAACGCCTTTTTCGAGAGCGAACAAAGAAGAAGAGAATGTTATAATTCTTAGCAAATGGCACTATTTTCGCTGCGTTGGTAATGTTGTGGTTTCGCTGTAGTACTTTCTAGTTTGTGGTAAAGGTATTCTCATAGTATGATGTCGTTCTGACATAAAGTAAAGGCTTTCACGCAATCTATGTCACAAAGTATACGAATATTCTAGAAATCTTCTTCTTCTTCTTCTTCGATCCTTCTGTCAAAAAACATATATCAGGAGGACGGAAGCCTTTATAAAAGCTATCGTGCAGTCCATATTCTCTCGTGTACCAAATAATCTGATTAAATTGTTTTATGATGATGGATGGACCGCAGAGGTGTGATAAAAATGAGGGCTGAAGACGACTAGTAAATCAACACTTAAATGGTATGCCTATAGGTGTGAGGATGAATTATGAATGCACTGAGCGGATCCAAAGTTTACATTAGCTGAATGGTTCGATGTATAATAGGCATATGCTATCGACTAATTAGCAAGGAGCAGTAAACTGTGACTAAAAAGCCCTTAACGAAATGGGGAAGACGAACAACGTGCATAAAACAACACAGCAGAGGCCTTTCTCGACACGAACTGAACTAAACAACAATAACAAAGAGGAGAGTACTCAAACCACCAAGGGGTCACGGAAAAAGCTATAAAAAGGGTGACGTGAAAGAAATGAAATAAAAAGGTTTGAAAAGTAGTCGTAAATGTAATAGCGATAATATACAATAATAGTCGAAATAAAATAGTAGTAGAAATACAACAGTTAATGATCTACAAATGGTACTGATAAGAGATATAATAAGTAAATAATATGAAATAAAATACAATATGTATAAAAAAATACAATAAAATAAAAATAATGTGACAGTAGTAAAACTGTTTGGCTTAACGTATGCTGGACATTGATGCCTTCTGGAGTAAGAACACCAAGGCTGTGGATAAGGCGATCTTCCAAAGCGAGGCGTGTGGTGTGATCGCCAAAGCAAGATTGTAATGCCGTGACAGAAATACCATCTTTGCATGTGTGGTCAGAGCTGTTAAAATGGAGAGGGATTGGTTTAAGTTTCTGGTGGCTAAATAATAGTAACAGTACACCTGTTTAGGTCCCTTGGACAACAAAGTTGTGTCGCGGACGACAGTGCCACTGATGACTGTATACTCCATGAGAGAATGACAGTCTCCGTCATTTTCTGCATCTGTAAGATGAGGAATATCCCACAGCATGTTATACTAGTGCCTCTTGTCCCAGGTTTGTTGGTTCACACTGGGTTCAAAGAGAACAACTCAATTTCGAACATCTCTTCTCCAGACGTAACTGACAACTGTAACTCTCTTTGAGTTTCTGTATCTATGCCAAAAGCTTTCATATCCAAAATCGACTAAATACATAAATAGTAAATAATTGGAAACTATGAAGAGGAAGCTAACTGGAGGGAAACAAATGCTGTCTTCGAGGTCAAGATAAAGGGCACTATAACCAGCTACTCATGGGAACAAAAGTAGACGTACCTTGGAGTTCGGCATCGGAAGACTGAGCATGTATGCGAATGCTCAGTGTGCTGTGACGGTGATTGTCATAGGATTGTGTAACAGAAAATTATAAACTTAAGTATCTAAAAAAGGTGTTTTTTAAAAAATTGAAAAAAAAAAAGGTTACAGGCAGGTCAAAACTTTCCATTAACTGGGCTTGTTTGTATCTTTTTCTTTATTTACATACCTATACACAGTTTCACATGTGTTTTTTTTTTTTACTTCTTGGTATCATCTCGACTGTATCCGTCACCATTTTCGAGATTGCTAGTTTGAAATTCATTGTAAATACGTATGTCTGTACGTGATATACCTATCCATCGAAATGTCATCCTCTGCACAGAACCGCTTAACATGGCTCTAGAGAACAACCACGAGGAATGTGCCCGGTTACTGTTGGCTAGTGGCGCCAAACCTAACCACCACTACTTCCTTGGTTATGAAATCAACCTGGTTCCCCTGGAGAATCTGGAATGTTTGAAAACTCTGCTGGAGTTTGGAGCCGATCCCAATGTGTTCAGTCGGTGAGTTAATTTACGCAATATTTAGCAGATTTTCTCACTATAGTACGTTTCCCCCGTGTGGGTTGAGGGTCCCCATAATAGGGGAAACAAAAAGAAATCCTCTTAGTCCATCAAAATCATGTTGTAGGAGTCGACTAACCGGGGACTTTCTTCGAAGTCAGAGTACATCTGCCCGAGGGGCAAGGAACAACAAACTGCACATAAATAAGTCAGTAAAACGTATCCACACTCAAAATCCACGCTATGGCACAAAGCCAAAGTCCAAATTGACGAACAGCCAGGTCTTTTCGCCAGAGGCTAGAGCCCGGTGAAAAAAAGAAGAAGACGTTCGTTTTGAAAGTGGTGCCCAAAGACTTAAAAAAATATCTTTAAAACCCATGGTTAAATAAACGCGAATTTGTTTATGTGGTCTTACATTTCCCATGTTCTTATTTTTTTAAATTTACAACTGCACAGGCTTTGTTGTTTCCTTAAAACGGTGAATTCCTGTGATCTTTGTTTAACTGATAATTGGTGTATCCTAAGGGGAAAAAATGCAGTAATTAACACACAGGTGGAGATTGTATGGAAATTAGTTAATATGTGCAGTAATGCATGATAATTATTTTGATAGCCTTAATCTGATAAAATAAACAATCGTGCTCATATAACTCACAAGAAACTTATGCGAGATGACCACCTGAGAGTAAAATATCTATAAAACGCGCATAATTTTTTTTAAAATTTTGCCGTTAGTCAATTAACAATAACCACAATGAGTGTTTGCTTTGAAAAAGTGTCCGTTTCTTCATATACCGCAAAAAACGCAAAATGAAAAGAAGTTCGCCTTTATTTTGAAAACAATTCTTACATGGACGTGATTATTTTCAGGTTGTATGCCAAATTTCAATGACTTCTACAGAACGCTCACTAAGTTACAGATTTTTAAAGTCAGGCACGACTTTTTGAACGGACTATAGAGTTCTTCTTGTGTCTTCTATCTCATACTAGAATTTCTATTTTGTTTCAGTCCAAAAAATTTTTATTTTTATTTTTACCCCTTCTATTTTAATGACTTTAGCTTTCAAATAAGAAAATAACTATGTCTATAGGAGTTGAATAGAGACACTATGAGACAGAAGTAGTTACATAAATATACATTAACCTGGTCAACAAATGTTCGCAGGTGTCGAATGTGTTGGCACACATTGGTGTCGAGAGCCTATGCCAGGGGTGCTGTGATAATAATCAAGCATTTTTCAAAATCAGAGATCAGCAAAGACAGCAGTTTAAAACAGAAATACCATGAAGAAAGCCAAGAAGAGTTCTGGATGCAGGTGTATTCAGAAAACAATGCTATTATCAAGGCTGTATTGTATTGTCAAAGTACGCTGACATAGAAAAAAAAAAAACCCAGATACAAGAGCAATCTTCAAGTAATTTGAAGGCACAATTAACTAAACTTCCCATAAACATAAAGAGAATAATGAAACATTTATGCAGTTTCATTCATCGCATTAAAGACAACTAATTGTTAAATGTGCACTGTTTTTTTCTTCTTTTCCAAAGTATTCAAATCGCTTTTAGGGTAGGTGTGCCGCGAATTTTTTTTTTTTTTTTTTGCCTGACAAGAGTGCCACTGGAAAAACAGTTTGAGAAACGCTGGAATAGACCAACTGACCCTGTTACAAGCCTATCTGAAAGTCTACTAATTAGATGTGTTACTTTTGTAGCAGTCTAAGAATTGTTGAACCAGGGTCTGTGTATAAATAAGCCACATTTATAAAATGGATATACAAGCAGACTAAAGTTGTAGAGTAAGACAAAACTTCAAAAATTGATAAACAGCCATAACTTTTCCGCTAAACGCGAAGCAGAAAAATAAAAAAAAATGAATTAGTATTAATAGTAATAGTAGTAGTAGTAGTAGTAGTACTAGTAGTAGTATTATCTGTAGTGGTAGCCTTAGTAATTATCGTAGTCGTAGTAGTAGTAGTGGTAGTAGTAGTAGTAGTAGTAGTAGTAGTAGTAGTAGTAGTAGTAGTAGTAGTAGTATTAGTAGTAGTTGTAGTAGTAGTAGTAGTAGTAGTAGTAGTAGTAGTAGTAGTAGTAGTAGTAGTAGTAGTAGTAGTAGTAGTAGTATTAGTAGTAGTAGTAGTAGTAGTAATAGTAGTAGTAGTAGTAATAGTAGTAGTAGTAGTAGTGGTAGTAGTAGTAGTAGTAGTAGTAGTAGTAGTAGTAGTAGTAGTAGTAATAGTACTAGTAGTAACAGTAGTTGTAGTAGTTGTAGTTGTTCCTCTTGTACAATAGATACTGTTTTCTTTTACCCAGATGTGGTCTCTCTCCCCTGATGAAAGCCTGCAGACAACACAACATCCGTGCTGTTAGACTTCTCCTGGAGAGCGGAGCAGATCTCAATATACAGCCACCCTCTAGATTCGAACAGGTGAGACAGACAATTGGTCAAGACACAGGCTGAGAAATTTCCGATATCAGCATAACTAGAATATCAATATGCTGAGTTGAGTTGAGTTGATTCGAGAACCGACATCACAACACTTGGAGAATTACCCTAATCGCTCCGTGCCCAACTTCAGCAGCCAGCGCAAAATTCCAATACCAATGGTGCCAGTAGCATTCTGTGCATATGCCGTCTTGCTTTTCCTCTGAGCGTCGAGTATCGGCCAGATTTCCTCGTCACTCCCTGCTGCATCACTCTCACCAGACTTTGATGCTCCATTTGCTCCTGCGAACTGTACACGTTCTCCGATCTGGCCTTAACCACGTCTGCCTTGTCATGTATCAGTATTCCATCAAGTAGTGCTGAGCTGTGCCAGTTTATCTGCCTGTTTATTTCCCAACACACCAGCATGCCCCGGTAAAAAGATCCAGATAATGCTCCTCACCCGTGACCTCAGAATCGAAACATACCACTCTATACTGAAAGGCAGTAAATGAATACAATACACACATAAACACATACATGGACAAGGGCGTTATATAGTGACGTGAGAAGGATGGGGAAGTCACGCAAGAGATAGGGACGACACTGTCTGTGTTGCTTGGGGTAGCTATGCACCACTTTTGGAAAAAAGGAGAGAGAGAGAGAGAGAGACAGAGAGAGAGAGACAGAGAAGGAGACAGAGAGAGAGAGAGAGAGTGAGAGAGAGAAAGAGGGAGAGAGAGAGTGAGAGAGAGAGAAAGAGGGATAGAGAGAGAGAGTGAGAGAGAGAGTGAGAGAGAGACAGAGAAAAAGAGAGAGAGAGAAAAAAAGAGAGAGTGAGAGAGAGAGTGAGAGAGAGAGAGAGAAAGAGAGAGAGAGAGAGAGAGAAAGAAAGAGAGAGAGAGAGGGAGGAAATAAGTCAAGTCAAGTAAAGGAATATTTTCCCCGCCTTTTTGCGTACTGGGCATATAGGGCTAGAACTATATTTTGTAGACCAATAGTCACTTGATGGGGGATCTGTCAGCTGACGCTCGACACTCGGGGATATCTAATCAGACATTTACTAATACTATCGAAATTTTAATTCTTGGCTATGAGGGTGTCCCGAGTGCTGTGATGTCTATTCTTAATTCGACATTCAACATTTTGTGTCAGCATCATTCTGGCCGCCTTTTCTTCCCATGAATTGACCTGGTAATCATGCTGGATCGACCTGGGAACCACGATCATTTGAAAAAAAAAATGCTGCATCCGACAGGACCCGAAAACAAGACCTTCCGATACGTAGGTGAGTGCCTCGCCCCTACACCACGGCGGCTCCGCAGAGAGAGAAAGAAATAACACAATGAGGGCATACATTCACGAAAAGCTATCTTAACACGATAATCTATAACGTATTCAACTGCACATAATAAACAGACGTTTTTCATACCATGACCCCCATTAAACATATAATTATAGTTTTTAAAGGTAAAGAAAATATATTGGGAGGTAAATGCGTACATATTTGTTATGTAACTTCTGAAAGATAACTGTTATATAATCAAATATGGAACTAGCATACAAAGCGTGTGTAAAATTCGTTCTTCACTTCTGAAAAATATGATATACCCTCATCACTATGGGAGCCGCCGTGGTGGAGCGGCTCAATAGTCACCTGCGAAGCTAAACATCTTCGATTTAGGTCCTAACTGAGCCAGACTGTTTTTAAAACACTTGTTGTTTTAATTGGGCGGGCTCGGTGGTCTTGCCATGTATTCAACGCGGCGCATACCGCAAAAGGTCCCACAACAATTACCCTTGTTTAACATACATGTGTTAGGAGTGATTAAGTGACGTTTAACCCCACCAAGACCGCACACCAAGCGATTACCATCCGGTGACAGAAAGTGCCACCACTAGGATGAGAATCCCTCAGAAACCCCGTTCAACCGTTAGGTTATATCCGGGCCCGCGAAGGACAACCGGGGTGGGGCTTCAAAATGTTTTAAAGTTGCAACCCCTTATGAGTCGTGTTTGATATGCTATTTTTGCTGACTGGTTGACGTTCTACCCCACCGATACATTACATTACACCGAGCGATAAACAGCCGGTGACACAAAGTGCCACCATTCGGATAAGGATCACCCAGGGACAGGTCCCATAAATCCTGTTCAATCGTTAGGTTATATTAGGGCTCCCGGCAACAGCCAGGGCAGGGCTTTCAAACAGCAAAACAAATTCCGTCTCACACTGGGATGTTACGTTCTAGTAGCTATTTTGGCGGATTAGAGCCGTTGTTCTTTTATTGATTAGTTGCATATTAAATCTGAAGCGTATACAATTTTATTTTACAGGAAACAAAATTGTGGGGTATCACTTTCTGAATCCTCCTCATGGATATAATATATTCGATCAGTGGTTCTCAACCTGTAGGTGGCAACTCCTTGGGTGAAAAAAAAGAGGGGTGGGGGGGGGGGGGGGGGGGGGGTGTCGAACGACTCTTTCACAGAGGTCGCCTAAGACCGTCACTAAAGTAGCAACGAAAATAATTGTATGGTTGGGGGTCACAACAACTTAAGGAACTGTATTAAAGGGGTCATGGCATAAGGAAGGTTGCTTTTTTTTTTTTAAAACCGGGTCTATTCCCAAAATTGACCAGCCTGTGCCCCCGAAGACCCGGAGGATATTACGTCGGTAACCAAGACAACGGGCAAACAGCCCAGTATGAGTTTTTTAGATATGGCTTATGACGTTTGGGTTTCAACCGTGACTTTGTTGTGACGGATCCCGGTCCTCTTGGCCAGACCAATGCAGCAGAGCTACACTTTGATCTTAGTTAAAAGACCGAGAAGCGATTAGGAAGGTTGAGAGCCACTGTATTAGATGAATCTCTGACGGAGAGTACTGTATTTGCTTGCAGAAAACTGCCATCCATTACGCTGTCATGTCAGGAAGCACTGGAATCACAAATGCTTTGCTCAGAAAAGGCGCTCTGTTGGCAAGACCACCTGGATATAGGTAACTCGTTTTAGGTCTTATCTATTCTACTGGTTAGTCAATTGTGTTCTAATTATTTATCCTAACTCACTGTAACAACGACAGTGTGGCAATATATTTCGTTTGCCTTAAAAAACATGTTTTTTATATCCAGTTTCGTCCTTTTCAGGACGAAATTTTTTGTCCTTTGAAGCCATACTCTGGCTTTTGCCAGGGGCCGCAATATAGGCAGGCCATAAATATGGCCAAATGTCTGAACGCGGTTTCTGGGACCTCTCCACGGCGATCCTCATCCGCATGGTGGCACTTTGTGTCATCGGGTGTTTATCGCTTGTGTGATGTCCTGGTGGGGTAGAAAGTCAGTCAGTCAAACATGTTTATTTCTCAAAAGGGTGATAATTTGTAAAAACAACATAAGAAAAGTAACAGGGTAATTACTTCCCATTGTTTTTAGAAATGTAAGCTATTTCAAATCCCTACCATAATGAATAAATAAATAAATGACCTTGTCTGTAGGTCGACCAAGTCTACAATGGGTCTGAGACATACCAAGGCAAGTTAATACTACTGGCATGATGTTTCCCACAAAAACCAATGAGGAACAACTGGACTACACAAATTGTGCAAGACGCAAAAGAGTTATTTTGTCATTGGTTTAAACTATTTTGACCATGAGTTTAGGACGTTATATTATATAATCCAATTTCGTCCTTTTCAGGACGAAATTTTTTGTCATTTGAAGCCCTACTCTGGCTTTTGCCAGGGGCCGCAATATAGGCAGGCCATAAATATGGCCAAATGTCTGAACGCGGTTTCTGGGACCTCTCCACGGCGATCCTCATCCGCATGGTGGCACTTTGTGTCATCGGGTGTTTATCGCTTGTGTGATGTCCTGGTGGGGTAGAAAGTCAGTCAGTCAGTCAGTTTAGGACGTAATTTTTTGTTATTTGAAGCCCCACTCTGGCTTTTGCCAGGGGCCGGAATACGAACAGGCCATCAATATGGCCAATTGTCTGAACGCAGTTTCTGGGACCTCTCCACGGCGATCCTCATCCGCATGGTGGTACTTTGTTTCATCGGGTGTTTATCGCTTGTGTGATGTCCTGGTGGGGTAGAAATTCATTCATTCAGAAACTTCAGAATCCAGATTCTTTTTTGGTGGAGAACTGTACCCTATGTCTTACACGCTGATGATTTTTAGAAGTTATGTTGGTGCTTTATTAATATCCTACCCCAAACAGGGGATCTCCACAGGTCATGGGACAGTATAATATTTTCGGGGGTTGCAGATGAGCTGAAGGCAGTCGTGGGACCTAGGCTGCATGTACTCGTGGGACCTAGGCTACACTCTCTCGTGGGACGTAGGTGGGTTAGGGTTAGAGCGAGTTCTAGATGTTTTGGGGTCGTTAGAGCACCAGAAAGCCGGGAAATCCAGTCTTACCACCCTCTAAAATGTACCGTCCTGTGACGTCATCTGTGTTAGGATATTATTAAAGAACCTTTATTTTACAGAGCAGAGGAAGAGAGGGTAGATACTATGGGAATTCGAAGTATAGAGATACGTAAACAATTGTGCACTGTCCATGCAATAATTTATAATAATAACACTGTCATTTATAAACCGCAACGGACTACCTGTTGTTGTTTTTTTGCAACCCTTTTTTTATTGTACCCCAGTTAAGGTGTCTCATATGATTGTAATTTTGAAGAAGACTTTCTCTATTTGTAGTTGTTTTATTTTCATCCCTGAGATGTTAATCCTACAGAATGCAAATTTTGAGGGGATAAACTTATGACATTTTTTAAATTAAATTTACCTTTAGAGTCAGTTTATTATTATTCTCTACCGCATCTACCACATCATTATACAAGTTAGTATAATCAGCTTTGTTCCTATCGTAGGCTCTGTGGCTAAGTCGATGCGAACGCTTCGTAATGCCGGGGTACTGGGTTCGATCCCAGCTACGGGCCATACACCTTGTGTTGGTTTCGAGAGCAATGGCAAACTACTAGACGTAAATTTGCCTACATAAACCACACAACAGCGAGGGGCCGCTGGGGTTGGTTCTGCAACGTCCTGTAAAGCATACGCAACTAACCATTTTTTGGTTCCTAAATCATTAAGTTAAATATTCCTAATCCACCCCCAGTAAGCGACGCAATTTCTATTTCTATTTTAAAGCCCTACTCTGGCTGTCTTCGGGGGCCCTAATATAACCTAACGATTGAACCCAGGTGATTCTCATCTGAATAGTGGCACTTGGTGTCACCGGGTGTTTATCACTCGTTGAGCGGTGCTGGTGGGGTGAAAGGCCATTCACAAAAAGCTGCACGGAACCCTAGAGAATGTAGCACTGGCTGAGAACCCACATTAGGTAAAGGACCTTCCCGCGGGGGTTTCGGGGTCCTACTGTGAGTGTAAAAATAGACTCACTACCTCCACAGCAAGCATGTCGTAAGAGTCGACTTATTCAAGGCTTTCTTCGAAGTCAGAGTGCATCTGCCTAGGAGACAAGGAACCAACAGTCTGTAAAGAAATGAGCAAGATCTGTAAAACGGATGCCTAGGCAGAACTAAGGTCCTGGAACAAAGCCAAAGTCCAGAAATGGACGAACAGCCATGTCATTCGGCGGGCGCATTATATTAGGGCACCACAGGGTCTTTCAGCGCAAACAACCTAAAGACCCTACGGGATTTTGATATTAGACAAATCAGGTGACGATTACAAAATTCGAATCTCGGACCGACTGACTAACTGACTGACTTTCTACCCCACCACGACATCACACAAGCGATAAACACCTGGTGACACAATGTGCCACCATGTGTGTGAGGATCACCGTAAAGAGGTATCTGAAACCGCGTTCAGTCTTTAGGCCATATTTATGGCCAGGCTATATTGCGGCCCCTGGCAAAAGCCAGAGTAGGGCTTCAAACAACGAAAAATTCCATCCTGAAAAGGACGAGGAGTAAATTACTGAACTTAATCTCAGACCATATAAACTACGCATAAATAGGCCAGCCGGCAGCAGTTTGGTTGGAGATGTAACCATGACCGGCTTACGTCACCAAACGAGGCTAACGATACGTTAACGCAGCGATTCTCAAACTGGATGCCGCAGCACCCAGGGCTGCCGCGAGCGTACATCAGGGGTGCCGCGAACGTACACCAGGGCTGCCATGAGCGTACCTCAGGGGTGCCGCGAGCGTACACCAGGGGTGCCGCGAGCGTACATCAGGGCTGCCGCGAGCATACATCAGGGGTGCTGCGAGCGTACATCAGCGATGCCGCTGCAATAATCGATATTTTTTTCTAAATCTGCTTGACAATAAATTTGCACAATTATTTGTCCCCATCTTTTCTCAAGTATTCAAACAGCTTTAAAGATAGGTGTGTCGCGAAATTTTGTTTGCCTGACAAAAAAAAAAAAGTGTAACAAACCCTTCGTTACCGTATCGTTAGTCTGGTTTGGTGATATCAGTAACATAATCCGTCAGCTGGAACCGGTCGTGGTGTAACCGTTAAATTTGCCACGCTTACTTCCGTAAACATTTCCTATGTTTCACTATTGAAATGACCTTATATGGAAACTGAGATCATCTGCCTAGATCAAAACCTCAGTCGCTACAAGAGGGTTCCATCAAATTCCCCAACGGTGATAAGAGAGTATTATTTACCTTATTTTAAACTGGGTCTGAGGCTAGCCTTTCATTAAGTACCATATAAGTAAAGCGAGGAACATCATTACGTCAGCAGCATAAAAAGCATGACTATGACAGTCTCATCACTGTATCTGCCAATCGGCACTTGATGGCTAATGTTGTCAACTCCACACTGGCCGCCTTTACTTTCCAAGCAATTATTGCACATTTAGACAGGGTCAATCCAGAGGTTCTAGTGGCTATATTGTATAGAAAATCCACATTGATGGCTAAAAAGCCTAATCATTTAAAAAAAATAGCCGAGGAATGAGTACGCATGGAATTCTCATCTACAGTAACCTTGATTGTGATAACATACCAGACAAATGTACCCCTTTCTAACCACACAGGTACTCGGCACTTCACACAGCCATCTCAAGCGACAACCCCGACATGTGCGAGCTGCTGCTCCGATGGGATGCTCGCGTGGACGAAGTCACCGACGAGAACGCCACCCCTCTACAGCTTGCCTGCGCCACTCCAGGCCTGAAGAATCGCCTGAAGATCATCCAAGTCCTGCTCAAACATGGTGCCAATCCCAACGCCAATTCTCCATTTGTAAGCTACAGCAGTCCTTTCCTGGCCCCTCTTACTGAATATTTACGATGCGTTACAGACGAGGTGGAATACGATGTTGTCCATGCGCTAATTGTCTTTGGCTCTAAAGTCCATTTTCGAGCTGCGTCCACTTCAAGTCGAGCCAAAGATCCTCACGGAATCCTCCATTGTGTTCAGTATCTGAAGGACAAACCTGAAGTACTTCACCTGCTGATCGAGGCCGCTACAGGATTTGACGTGGACTCTATCAGTGCATACAGCAGCTTGTCCTTGGAGCAGAAAGACATTCTCTTATCGGTAGCCACAGGTCCCAGAAGTTTGAGAACCATCATTCATCTCTTCCTGAGAGACTATCTGCAGCCTAAGTTTATAGAAAACGTCGCAGGAATGCCTCTGCCTGACATTGTCAAACATTATCTCATGTTTCATCCATCAAAGAGTAATGTTACTGTGTAATCCAAAGACACGTTTACATTTTAATCTAAAAACAGTTTTATTGTTCGACATTTTGTTTTAAAATTTGCTAGAAAACATCATGGTCATGTAATTCCTAAAGCGCAGTGAGAACAAAAGATGCGATATTTGAAATGTTTACAATCCCCTCCTTTTTGTTTTCTTTTGTTTAAAGTGATCAAAAATTGGAGTACAAACAGAAAAATACCGAAGGCTGTTAACAAGAACTTGGAGAAAAACATCCACATGAATCATTTTTAAGTAGCATATGAGAAACAGTAACTAAGAACTGGTTGTTTAGTGTCCACATAAGAAAGAGATGGCTTCGGGCGGAGGAGCACACTGGCGAGGATACTAGCCTTATCCTAGAAAGAGGAAATGCAACTGAAAACTATATGTTATGGCAGGGCAGAGTGGCCATTGTCTTAGATTTGACTGGCAGCAAGTCTAGAAGGAAAGCTCTGACAGGTCAAAAGATAGAGGACTGCTCTTCCGATCCGACAGCTTATGCAGCCTGCTTTGTTTCAAACTTACTGGTGTTACCTTTTCTTTGGAGGGAATAAGGCAGGCCTGGCGAGGGATCATGATGCATGGGCAACATATGGTCTCAGCAATACTTCCCAGGCTTGTGCTATGGAGAGAACAAAAAAAAAAACATGCCTCTTCATAGTACATGAAGAAACTCCACAGGGAAGCATGTACAGCAAGAGTCTACCAATCAACAGTAGAAGTAATCTCTCGTCGACAAATGTTTCGACCCACGACCTCCTAGACATTTTAATAGAGTGGGCCCACCTGAGTTCATGAGGCTCAGGGTTGATTTTCTCCTGCTGCACGTATTACCAGATGTTCTCGGACAGGGAAAAGACGAAATTGGTGACTTTGCAAACGGTACTGTGAGATACTGAATTTACATAGTCGCTGCGGTAGCATAATTAGAGCAGTCAGCATACCTGGATGACCAAGTGGTAAGCTTACGGTTATATTACACTGTCGTCTGGATTGACTGAAAGGTGCCAATTCAAGAAAGAAATGGTCGGCACTGTCTTGCCTGGATGTTATATTATATTTTTTGTTTGACTTTAGACAAGACGCAAGGGAGATCACTCTTTGCGCAGGGGTTTAAAAAAAATGTAATAGTTTGAAATAAAGTGAAAAATGTTAAGATAACATATTATTACAAGAACAAAATGACTCAGCTCTAAAATTGCTGGAATCGCCCTAGAAACTTTTCTGCCCCCCCCCCCTTTTCCAACCTGGGGTTAGAAAACCGCGGGGGAGGGGGGGTGGGGGTGGAGTGGCGTCTCCCAGATTGAAAAGTCACCGCTCTAAAAGGATAGCAGGCAGACTGTGATCTAAGGCTAGTCTGGGATATCTATGCTGCATTTATGTCCAGTGCATCAGATTTAAGCCAACTCTTTACTAATTGTCGGCTGTGTGGCTTAGTCGATGAGAACGTTTCGTAATGCCGGGATGCCGGGTTTGATCCCAGCTGCGGTTCATGCACTTTGTGTTGGTTTCGACAGTGTATCAAGAAAGCCGACCGTCCAGTGGCAATGACAAACTACTGGACGTAAATTTGCCTAGAAAAACCACACAAGACAATCGCAGTTTGGTGGTGTAATATTCATGTTAATAATTCACGTAATATTGTATTGTATCATAACTTGTTAATGTTTGTACTTTTATTGACATATATTTAGACGCTTATCTAGAAGGGAAAGAATCAGGAAAGAAATGATACGGAAGCGAAAAAGAAAACCGATCGCAGAAATGTCAGAGCTGAGCGTCTGATAATAAGAACACTGAATACACGTGATGTCAACAATAGTCGCAAAATCCCATACCAATACTGTAAAAGACTTTTCTTAACGCGTTTAAGCTTTGCTCGTCACACTCGACATCGCCATAGGCTGCGAGTCGCATGCCTCATCATAGTACAATACATCAGTGTCACCTGGAAAGACTGAAAAGTGTCAACAATCTGCAAGTATTTTTGAGAGTATATACATTGCGGCAAGACAATGTGCAATACAACATGGGTGTTGTGAAGCAGTGAAAGGCGAAGAACAAACAGTACATGTAATGGCTGCAAATGCAAAAGAAAAGGTTTAGGCTAAATGGCATCAATTTTGAAATTCAAGCATGTGAATATGAACAATAAAAGGACAGTGTTCAACAATATTCTTCCTAACTCTCTGCTATTAATCTCAGACATTGACACTGTCTTCAGAAGACATGAGGAAAATAGTCTCGACAGAAATTAAATGTAAGCACTTTAGTTGGTGTACTGAGGATAGATCGACTGTATAGGTGTATAACAAATCAAATGGTTTGGCCATGTAACCAGATCGGCATGAGATAGGGCACCACAGAGAGGAGAGCAATGTTATACAGATACAGCGGTAACAGAAGCAGAGGTCGAATATGAACCTCTTTGGCAGAATATGGACTGAAACACAGACAAGTACTTAATAAGAAGCGAACAGAATTACCCTTTTCAGAGATCTCTTCCTGTCCTGACGTTGCGAGGCATACCAGGAGTAGAGAAACGAAGAAGAAGAAAAAGAAGAAGAAGAAGAAGAAGAAGAAGAAGAAGAAGAAGAAGAAGAAGAAGAAGAAGAAGAAGAAGAAGAAGAAGAAGAAGAAGAAGAAGAAGAAGAAGAAGAAGAAGAAGAAAGAGAAGAAAGAGAAGAAGAAAAAGAAGAAGAAGAAGAAGAGAAAAAAAAAAGATGCAGAAAAAATAAGGCGTTATAAAAATAAGCAGATGTATAGTTGTTAACTTTGTTAATTTTGTTCGATTGCTGTGATAAGTATATAATCTGTGTTTACCTATGGTGTGGTTATTTAATTCATATACGCCGTCTGAGATAGTGAAACAGTGTTGAAAAATAAAGTCAACATAAATGATTTGCTATTTTTTATTTATGAGATATTATGTGTATATTATATATATATATATATATATATATATATATATATATATATATATATATATATATATATATATATATATAATATACAAACAGACAATGTATTGATCGGCACTTATAGAAAGATGTAGAAAGATAGAAGGACAAACTAGACAACAGAAATATCGAAAGCTATAGTTGCCGTGTCGGGAGTCGATCCTGTCATCTGCAAATGGCGTGTGCGCCTCGTTACGAAAACAGTGTACTAAGTACATGACAAATAACCCAGACCACAAATATAGGCGGAGACTGTTAGCAGCCTAGGCTAGCTAGCAGCAGTCTGAACGTGGTCGAGCTTTTCTTTTTTCTCTCAAAAGGACTTGGACTTTTAGGGAACAGCGGCTATTCCTCTTCTTCTTCTTCTTCTTCTTCTTCTTCTTCTTCAGCATTCCGAGCCCTTGAGGTTCATTGCTGCAGATATCACCCGCCTCCATTCATCTCTCTGGTTGGCCTTCTCTTTCCAGTTGGTGACACCAAGTGTTTGCAGGTCTGTCTGGATATTATCTCTTCTGATCTTCTTGGTCTCCATCGTGGTCTACGACCATTTATCTCCCTTGTGTATACACTCTTTACTTCTCTGTCATCTTACATTCTCTTAATATTGCCTCAACCATTTCAGTCTTTTAGCTTTCATGATTCTAGCAATCAGTGGTGATTTAAACAGACTGTGAATTTCGTTGTTGCTTCTCACTCTCCATTTCCCGCTGTTTGCATCTTTGATGGGTCCGAAAATTCGTAAGACTGTTTTTGAAAACCTGTAAAAAGGCTTCAACTCTTTCAGTTGTGCTCCATATTTCAGAGCACGTAAAACGACCGGTCTTGTCAACGTTTTATATATTTTGATCTTGGTGTTGCGAGACAGACAATTTGACAGTGGCAATTATCCGCCCCCCCCCTCTCCCCCCCCCCGCCCGAAAAAGAACACGTTTAATGTTTATTTAAAACCAATGTTACTGTTTAGTACCGCCGCGACCCCCGCCCCAACTCTCCCTCCAACCCCACAGTTAAACGGTTTTATTCAAAATCAGGTCTACCGTGTGATCCAAAAATGTGTTAAACATATATATATATATATATATATATATATATATATATATATATATATATATATATATATATATATATATACTAAAGGACCCTTTTCCACGCCTTTAGACTATAGGGCATATAGGGCTAGACATATATTGCTATAGACCATTAGCACATAATGGGTGATGTGGTCAGCATCACGCCGGCCGACTTTACTTCCCGGGACTGCACCTGGTACCCACTCAAAGCTGGGTCGACCTCGGAGAAAAGGTCGTTTTTGAAAAATGTCCGGCTCAGCCAGAGAGCGAACCCACGACTTTCCGATCCGCGGCGACCGTCTAGCCGCTCTTCCAAGGGAACTCCCATATATATATATATATATATATATATATATATATATATATATATAACTTTCAAATAATATTATTACTAAAGTGATAACAAATAATGTAACAAATAATATTATTTTAGTTTAATAATACTCATTACATTTGTAGTCAACATATTACCTCCAAGGACGTTGCCTGGAACCCACTTTAGTCTGGATATACCTGGTAGACCAGTGCAACAATTAAATTAAAAAAAATATAAATATAAATACACCAGGCGCAGATTCAAACCAAATGTCTCCGTGTCAGAATTCTAGCCCCTGTACTGCCCCACTCCGCCCCCGCCTTCAAATAATCATATAATGGATGGGGATTTTAATTAACAGACATACAAGAGGTAGACAGCGCTACAGCTGAGGGAATATTATCAAGAGGTTAATGGATGGAACAAGAATAAAGCACCGACACCTTTCATGTTCTGAGCATCGATGATGAGAATTAGTTCATCAACAGAATCCTGTATGGGCTAAAGTCAAAAGACAAGTTGTCAAAAGGAACAGTACATCTAAACTGTGTGATGTTAAAGTTCTGACACGTGAGTCCATCTCAAAAGTAGACATTCATTTCCAGAAAAAGTGTGTTGAACATGAGCTCCGAGCGGAAGACGAGTACT